TCTTGGCCCACCTGGGTGGCTGCCCCTTTGGCTGCTGGCGGGGTGGATGAGCTGGGGCTTCGGGCTCCAGCAGCTGAGAAGGACGGGCTTTCTCGTGCGGCACTTTTCTTCTAGGCGCTTTTCTAGGCGCGTCCACTAGGTCTTCACAGAAGGTATCCGGGGCAGACCAGTGTTCCCCCCAGACATCAATGTCGGGCTTGGTTCGGGCGAAAAATAGGTCTCTCCGTAAGCAGGGCCCATAACTGCCGGTTCAGGTGGGACTGCTTGCCTGGGTTCTTGTCGCGGTAGAGACGCTAGGCGTATCTCCTCGGGCTGTGATTCGTTTGAGTGTAGGCATGTCGATGGCCTCGCCGAACATCGTGTACAGGACTGTGTCGTCTGTGAGGCATCTCTGCTGCTGGCTGAGAAGGCTCGCGATCTCCTTGAGGCTGTTGCGAAGGGGCAAAGGCTGGCTGGTGGGCGAGCTCCGGGTCATCGTCCTGCGAGGGGATTTCATCAGGAATGTCCCTTGTGTAACATCCATCTTGTCCTGAGTACCTGTACTCCTGAAGACTAGGTGCAGTATGAGCTTGGTCCTCTTCTGGAATAGGCACCGAGGCTGGGTCCGAGCGGACCGGCGGCCTTTCCGCCGAGGCGGAGTTGGGCGTAGGCTGAGGCTCTGACGCTGATGGTGTGTTACCCATCACCAGGCCTTCCCGAGTCCTCGGCGAGAGGGTCTTGATCCACTCTTTGAAAGCTTGGTCCATAGCCCGCAGAGGCTACGGCAGCTGGAGCAAAAGTGGCATGGGCAAGCATTTGGCGATGCAAGACATGCTGGACATGTCGGCAAGGGTTCAAAACAGTCCTGAGGCCGGGCAAAGTAGGCGAACCAGACCTGGCAATCAGCATAACGTGCCATGGAGCATCCACCTTGGAAGACATAAATGCCCAGGGTGAAATGAGGCTACGGAGGCGTTGGCTCTGGAAGGCTGCTCTGTGATGATGCCACAATTAAGGCTTGAACTTGTTGGGCCCCCGAGCGTTCAGCCTCCAGAATCCTGACTCTCAAATCTAGGCTGCGAAACCTTCTGGCGAGATCGGCTAGGTCTACTTCCGGAGGCGGAGGCGACCCATCTGCATCGAAATCTAGGCCATCGGCTTGGAATGTAGATGTAGGCTCAGGTGTAGGCTCGTGGATCGCTCTGTATAATCAGGCTCGAAGGCTAAGGGGCGAGACAGCCGCGCATTTAGGCGCTGAACCTGAGAGGCTGCACTTCCAGTTGGTAGGCCCCGATTCCATTGATAGGCAGGGCTATTGTGTGAGCTTGGCCGCGGCGAGCGCCAAGCTCGGTCTTCGGCTCTAGGCATGGCAGGCAAGGCGGTAGGCTGAACGAAAGCTGAAGTTCACTCAAGCGAAACAGCTGAGTACCCTGCAGTCCTGGCAAACGGTGCTGGGCGTACTGAGACTTGGGCCTTTTGCAGGAGGCGAAGCTGTAGACCTGTCATGTAGGTGAGCTAAGGATTGTCACTGAGCAAAGGCATGGCAGAAGCCGAGGCCTGTTCGGCTGTGTAATTGTGGCAGGCTCGATTGCACGAGACAATGTGGTACCAATCTGTGTGGTCGAGGCACAGTAAGACCGAGGCGCGGGCTTGGGCACCATACAAAACTCCCTCAAGGCTTTGAAAAATCATAGGCATGCGAATCTCCGATGAGGGCCTGGCCGCGAGGTTGAGAAGGCCCACCGTATACATGAAGCATGGGCGTACGTCGATAGGCTGAAAAGGGGGCGGATCACGAAATCTGAGGCCTGGGGCGTTTGCGTCCGAGCTGAGGCTGCTGAGGTTGCTGGCAGGCGAAGAAGCGTCGGACTCCGAAGGAAAAAACCTGAAATCCTCACTGACTACATGGGAGAAACCGGAGGAGGTTATGCTGGGCAAAGAATCCTCAGAGTCCGAGGCATGCAATCTCAAAATAGGCACACCACGCTGAAAACGAGATGATTGGCCCATTTGAGGCTCTGGCGGCGAGGCTGACCTGTGAAGTGGATCGGCTTGTGGGGCTATAGGTCGGCTTAGAGCACAAGATTATTTCATGGCAAACGCAGTCTGGCTTCCTTTGGAAGCACGAGGTACAACGAAGACCGGCTCTGACCAAAAGCTTGGCACAGGCTCGGCTCTTAACTGAAAAAGAGGGCTGGAGTTCTTTGGAATTTGCAGTGGGCGAAATAGGACCGCCGACCATAAAATCGCAGGCACCAAAAATGTCATCTCCACCAGAGTCCTGGTTGCCGGATCGTAGATAGGCCACTTGGCGAAGGTGTGGTGCTTGGCTCGGCGTCGGCCGAGCATCAATGCGCTGGGTTTTCAGAGGTGGGGAAGGCGATGCACTTCTGGCAGATAAGTCAGATCCCGAATTCAAAGATACACGTGGTGACCTGGGCGAAAAGGCCGGGCTATCGGGTTGTGCCGGCTGAAGTGGCAAGTCGTCGAGGCTGCTGTGTGGGAGGCTCGCGAAGGCTGTGACATGAATGGAAGGCTGGCCGAAACTAGGCAAAGAAGCTGACTCGAGCGAAGAAGGTATAGGTTAATCCTCTTCTAGGCTCTGCCATTGCCTTGTTGGGCAGTACCTCTGTAGGGCCCGAACGAGGCAATCAAATCACGACTCGATGTGCACGGTTCGTTCAGCCAGGACTTCGAGGCCAGAGGATCCAACTTGGGATCTGGGCTGGGGTCAGCGAAGTGTGCGACTGTCAGCTGAATCCAGCCTCTCGCTAAGGCGTTGTAGGCGTTCCACCTCGCATTGAAAATAGGCAAGCTGAAATTGACAAATCGATAGGCTATGGTGAAGGCTGTCAACGTTCTCTGCAGGGAAAATTCCATCTGGGCTGCGGGAGAACGTCGACCGGAGGATGGGGCCGACATTTATTTAGGCTAGTGCTGACTGCCGGGGTCCTGAACAAAGTCGCTGCAAATGAGCATGCGGCAACATGGCGCGCGGCGAGCATCGCAGCGCGAAAGGTATAGGCTAGGGCACGCGTCACGCGAGCGCACCTGAAGGGCAGAGGCAAGGGCACGCGGGCGCGCGAGGATGCGCGGGCTGTTAGTGGAGGCGCGTGCGGCACTGCGCAAAGTGTGGGCTAAGGCGCTCTGGCGTGCAGCAGAGGCGGGGGGTACGCGCACGCGCGCGGTTAGCGCGTAGCGCGAAATGTGGGCTAAGGCACGCTAGAGCGAGGGCACGGCGCGGGCGGCAAAAGCATGCACGGGGGAGCAGCGCGCGCGAGCCCGCGTGCGTGCACGTAAGCAGTGCTAGTCAGGCAAAGCGAGCTCAAAGGCTATATGCTCGTGGCACTCGTTGTTAAGAGAGGCTAGGGCAAACCAAGAAGGCTCGCAAAAAGCACACGAGGCGTGGGCCAGTGTTCGAGCTGTCCGAGAGGGCGGAGAGGTCGGGGCCTGAAGGCGATGTTTCTGTTGAGGCAGGCAAGCGGAGACTCTGATGCAGAGACTGAGAGTAAAACTCTCGAGGCAAAATGTGTACAGGGCCAAAGAAAGCAGGCTCCTGGGCTAAGACTCCGGGAGAGGAGGGCAATATGGCTCTACCTGCAAGCTAAGGCGCGAGCTAGGCAGCAGACTAGGCTAGAGGTAACGGCGACCTACTACTCACAGTCCGGGCTTTTTTGCCAGAAGTTGTGAGTCTGCCCAAGTGCTAGAGAGCCACACACTGCGAATGTATAGGTTCAGAAGTTAGGAAAACATACACGAAAACAAAACGTGTAGCGTGCATTCCGACTTGTAGCCGTTGTAACCCCATGAAACTGTCTTTGGTGAAGGTGGCAAGTATCCAGCCACGCCGTTGATCTTCCAACAGTTCTTCTGCTGTTGTGTTGGACATTGGATGTCCCCTTCGAATACATGGTTGGTGATGCAATGTGATTGGCTTATTGAACTGTGAAAACATGTAAGCAAGTTCTGTTCATCAAGGTACTGATGTACCCGGTAATGTACATGTCTGCATGTGCACGTGATGGCGTAGACAGTCTGCGGACAAGCGATAATTCCTAAAAACACGACACTCTCCTTGCGGTCAATCTGGAGGTGAACTGTCTGGGCCGTTACATGTGCTGAGCTGATGAGTGCCTCGCTGAGGAGCAATTGCTCTCTGGTGCTCTCCTGGTCGTCACCTTGTTGTTCGAGACGGACAGTCCATGTTCGGGTGAAGGTCACGCCGGTGAAGATGTGTCGAAGAGGTACACGGCGTAGAACGCTGTTGTGGTATGGCGTGGATCCGCGTCGGGCTGTTTTTGAAACTGCCATGTTGAGCCAGCTTCTGCAAGGTTGGGTCAGTGTTCACAGATCCAGACATGTGGCATCGGTTTGCATCTGATGGCTTTTCCTTGGGACAGCACATGTTGTACTAACTCAAGTGTGGATGAAAATCTGCGTTTTGCCTGCACAGACAAGGACTGGTGGCCGTGATGGTCAGAAAGTCGAGGACGAATTCTGCCCGTCGAGGCATGAAAAAAGATTCATCAAGCTAGTTGGTGCCCGCAAGGAACAACCTTCACCAAACTGCCGTCCGGAGCAGGGAAGATTGAACGGAGCGGTTTCCTAGGACTCGGGGCTTCTCATGTGATGCTGACACACTTTGGCTCGGCAAGAATAACCGCGGCGAGCGACCGACAGGACCAAACGACGACGGATTGCGTAACCGTGCAGAATCACTGTAGGCCAACTTTAGAAACAACAGCATGTTCGGGGTACTTTTGGCTGGTCTGTATGCAGGTACACAAGGGTGATCAGCCGTTGCTTCCCACAGATTCCGCAGCTTCGTTAGGCACACTCCGGAATCTGATGCCGTGCCCCTTTGCAGCACAAATTACAGTCTCACTCAATGGTCGCCATGTAGGCGAAATTGCTAGTTTAGGCAAGACTTGCACAAAATTTGAACCATCAAGGAATGTGACTCCCCTTCAGAAGACTCTTCCCAAACACCACTGCATTACAACAGACGCGTGCTGCGGAACCTTCACGATGCATTTTGCCCTGCAGGCTCAAGTGCCGCTGGACTGTGTCCTTGGCTCGCAAAGTGATTCAAGTAGCTCTATGGACAAACAAAGGAATAGAAGCTGTGGCAATACAGGATCACGAACTCATCAAACGGCAATCGAAGAGCAGGCTAAAGGCACCGTAACACCAACTCGCTTACCACACCGGTCTCTCCGTAACGATGATCGCTGCGGAATACTACTGCCCCGACTGTTTTTGCTGATTTGGCCACACTCCTCGCTTCTCCCGGTAATCCTGTAATCCTCCGCCCGATACATCCACTCTCCAACTCGTGACCTCCTCCGGCTTGTCATTTCTCCTGCTCCTGTCGAGCTTTGCCGTCTACTGCGCAACGGAAAAGCTGCCGTCTCTACTGCTTCTCCCAAACACCGACAGTGACTAGGCTTGCTGCACAGGACAAGGAACACTGCTGCAACAACCACTGCCATTAATTAGCACCCGTGCCAGCCACTGCCCATCGAGATGAATCGAGATGGAAATCGGAGCATCTGACAGCCACAAACTAAACAGGTTGGTTGCTTCATGTCTTGAGTGACCAGTTCTGTAACCTTCAGATCAGACCTTAGGATGCGTGTTCACCACCTGTTTGGCCTGGTAACTGGTATGGCGCGGCCTTGCTTCCGAGATTTATTGGGAATTTCTAGTTCTCACCTACAACCTAAGTTGGAAGGCTTTGCCTGTCTTCACACACTTGAAGGATCTCGGCATATCTGCGCCTTTGGTTACAGAGGCTCCATCAGCTCGTCATTTTGCTTTTCCCGACAGCATCACTGTTGATCGGAAAAGTGTTAGCAAGCCAGCGCTGCACCGAACCGAGAATTGAATGACTCCACATCATGGCGAGCCACAAACGAATCGCGCATCTTGTGGTCTGTTCGACTTGGGCAGCTCGGCGCCCTACCTGAAAGAAGTGCTGATCGACAACACTGACAATTTCAGTCGCTTTGTCTGAGTGCCAAGTCTGCCTGCGGAGTTCTTCTCATCGTGAGCTGCATCATGCAGGTGCTGCCGGCCACTTGGAGACGCTGACGCTGCCGCTCCTAGGACAAGACCAACTTGGAAAGATGCGCAACGCTTAAATCTTAACCCCTTTTTCGACAGGCCTGGACAGGCCTGAAAAAATGCAGTGCTTTTGGAAGAGCTGCCCACTCACCAAGTTGAATTTGGAAGGGCCTTGGCCTGCTAAAGTATAATGAAGTTGTCTTAGTGAGCCAAAGTTATAGTTGCCACACTGATACGGCAAAGACCTACATGGTAACCAAGCAAGCAAACCCACTGTAGTCAAGCTGCTCGTCTTGGGACTGTCGAGCCGCATATTTGTTCTTGGTAGTCGAGCATGTCAGAGTCACAACCCCTCAACAGGCTGCACACTCCACTTCAACGAGTAAACACCAAGTTCTCGCACTCGGATAACGGCAAGGGATGTCGGCGTCTGGCCTCCGAAAAAACCTGCACAACTGCTTGTCAGAGTCATTTCAAAGCGAAGTCCAAACACAAGTTCAAATCTCCTAGCAAGCTTTCCGTTTGAAATCTTTGCTGAAGCACGACCTTCGGATGCGGAGGCGCAGCCGACAGCCCTGACAATGCACAACGAATGCAAACAGAATTGAAGAATCAGCATCTGGCTAGGTCCTTGCTGCGATTCCAAATCGGCAAGCAGGTGGCGAATCGTGCGGCGCACCAAGGTCATCTTCAAAATCGCATCGACTGATGGGCGATGATGAGGATCCTTCTGCAACATTTTCGGAATCATGTGCCTGAACTCGACCGAAAAAGTTGATGCCACTTCAGATGGAATACCACGCAGTATCTTGACAACGAGGCCACGCATCGAGTCTGCATCAAAAGCATGACGAAGCGTTGCCAGCTCGTAGAGGATGCAGCCCAAAGACCAGATGTCTGACTGATAGCTGTACGGCTTCTCTTGACAGATTTCGGGCGAAAGATAAAACGGAGTTCCAATAGCCGTCTTCGCAAGATCTTGAGTATGCTGCAACACGCGAGCAATGCCAAAGTCACCCACTTTGACGATGCCTTCACCTGGACCTGCCAAGAAGATATTCTGGGTCTTCAAGTCACGATGCAGAATGTGCCGATCGTGAATGTGCTTCAAAGCTAATGCAATCTGGGTAAACCAACGTAGAACCAATTCTTCGGAAAATAAATCTTGCTTCGCTCGCTGTTTCTCAATGCTTCGGTACAAATCGCCACTTTCAGCGAAGTCTGTGACGACACAAAGCAAACCGTCTTCCACGAAGCATTCTCGGTAGTTGATGATGAACGGATGGCGCAATCGGCTGAGGACTCTCACTTCGTTGGCAGCCTCCTGCTTCAATTTATCCGACATCTTAGACACGTCAATTTGTCTCAGGATATACGGCTCCCCGCGTCCCCCCTGCACCAGCCAGCAGCATCCAAAAGCTCCTTGTCCGACAACTTGAATTCTCTTGTACGAACACCTTATGTCTGAATGCCCCATCGCATTCAGGGACCGCTGCAAGGACTAAGAGGTGTGACAAGTTTAAACCACGTCGGGTCGCACTTCCGACTTGACAACATGGATGCCTTCATATTTACCAATATTTTATTTACACCATTGACAACTTCCAAACATCAAAACTGCGCACGCACTGCATGATGCATTGCTACCTTGAACAGACCCGAATGCGCAGCTCAGAATCACAGAAGGCAGCACGGCAACAGGGGCACTTAAGCCGTATCCTGGCTGGCAAATTCGAAGTGGCCTGGCCTGTTTCACTGGTCGTCGACGGACATTGGGCGACAACATACCGTGCACAAACACGACTGGCTTCAAAAAAATCGAACACAGGCATGGAAACCGCAAAATACAATTATGCCGCTGCCAGCAACTCACCGGGGCATGCGAACAGTAGAAATGCCAGAAAATGGGCACACAGCCTGAACACGAATTGAAATGCTTGACCTCCGTTCGACCATGAACTCTTGACCACAACCGTGTTTGTAATCTTTACATGCTGCTTTGCCGCGAAATAATGTAAGGCTTGCTCGAAAGCCCACGCTACCGCACGAGACCCCAAGCTTTCACTGAACATGCTTCAATAGCGTTTTGCAATGTTTTGCAATAATAAAAAAAGGTACAACATTGCTTCATCGATGCAAGGCACGATGCTATTCCCTAAAGATGCAGGTGCAGGGGTGGCAGCTACGACGACATCTAAAGTCCAGGTCCCGCCGGATTAATACGACATCTCACTAGCACACAAAGCGCACAACGTGGCAGTGTGGACAACAGACTGCAATGAGCTTGTTCCGGAAAAAGCTACACTAAACTGTGGCGGCCGGTTTCTAACTGAAAACGCATGTGGGTTTGTAAATGATGTTCCCTTGGTCGCCGAGCTAGTTGATATAAATGTGGCTGCCTAATGGTCGAGGTAGCAGTCGTGGGTTTCACTCTTTTGCTATATCCGGGGCAGGCACTCGGACTCAAGGTCTGTGCAACGGAGTGGCTCGGAAATTTGGATCACATGCCTACAACCAGCTTCGCAAGCATTCTTATCTTATGGCAATTTCTTGAGCCACGAAGTTGCACTTGAGGCGGGGGCATTGTACATTCTGATAGGCAGGAATGCTAGTGTCAGCAGTCGGCTAAGCAGTCCTGCGACACTTTGCTCAAAGCTTTTATCGTGGCGCCCCACGAATTTGACGAGGCATCGCGGTCCGGCTGCTCCCCCCAATGAGTTTCACCTTAGGCATTGCTCACACAGCAAGATAGTCAGGCTTGGGTTTGAAAGAAAGAAATGTCTTGTTCCAGTCACGAAGAGGCTTGCCAACAGATGAGAATTGACGAATATGTTTTAAGATTTACAAATCTGCGAATATATGAGCTATGAAACTGGAAGGCTGAGACGATAAAAAAGTCAGAACGTCTCAGGCCGCAACATCCTTCCATATAAATGTCCACTCACACATATTTCCATGTACTCGCTCACGCTCGACACATTTTCTTTCCTCGGACCAGAGGAAGTTAGCAAAAGGCGCGAAATCTCCGACAAACGATGTCAACGCCGTTCAACGAACAACAAGGGCACCGTCACCGCAGCCTCGGAGAGCATATGTCATCTGCATAAATTCATTCAAACATGGTTTGAAACTTCTTGAACAAATACGTAGTTTTGCGCCTTCCAAAAAAAAGAGAAGCTATAAATCAAGACAACATATCGCGTTCCGCGAAATAGCCTCTTAAGATACAAAACTCCGAAAAAAAAGCTATGAAACTTGAAGGCAGAGACTTTTTTCAAATGCTGCAACACTTACTCAACATCACATTGCTTGATGCAATTTGGATTCTGTGTGACCTTCGCAGTTGAAGAAAAAACCGTTTTGATCATGTTAACTTGCACGTGCTTGTGTTTCAACGCAAAATTCCAAAGCTCTACATTCCCCAAACACTCCGAAAACAAACAATCAAACCACTTTCATCCATAAGCAAAACCTTTTGTCCTAGTTTATGCGTCTTTCGAAATACAACTTCCAGAAGGTTCTAGTGTTTGGTAGTGCATTACGGCACAGTCGTCAAGCTTGCGTCAACTATAGACGAGCCTGGACGCAATACGGGCATTTTTTCGCTTTAACCAAAAAAAACCATGGCGGGCGTGACCTCTCAGGCATTTAGAGATTGGAGCTTCTTTTAGGGTTTAGGGTTTAGGTTGCTTTTCGGGGAGTTACCCCGAGAGGTCCCGGCACCATGGTCTGCGATCGAGTTGAGAAGCGAGATTCGAGATTGGGTGGCAGTTCGTGGACCTGTTGCAGAATCATATTATCAAGGCAGTGAGGACGGATCGAACAAACGGGATGCCTTGCTAGGGTTCAGCATGGGCCAGACGTACATCCATGTCAAAGTCTGGCGCCTCAAAGCCCTTAACATGACATCGTTGTGTGCGTTCCAAAAGTGACGCGGATCCTTAGGACTTTCGTTCCTTTTCCGTCTTCTCGCTCACACCGCTTATTGGCTCAGACGCGAAACCGCTTCGCAAAGAATAAAAGAAGAAGACAAAGGAAAAGAGTGTCAATGAGAAGTCCTTCTTCTTAAGGGGGTTGAGAAGGGGCTTCAAGTCTTCTTCGAGAAATTCTAAAAGCCGAGAACAAATGAACGCAAACGTAGGCGTCCACTTGCAAGAAATACGGAAAGCCTTTTGGGAAGGGTGAATGCACGAAAACACCAGCAATCGTGAAGAAGTTGCAATGGATGGGCTGCGTCCAACCCTCCCGCTTGGCTTGAAGGACTTCTTTAAAAACAGATGGAGTGCACCTCCAACACATTTTATAAGACTGAGATACAGGCTGCACAGGCCTCAGTTGACAAAGTTCAAGCATGGAGTTTCCTCTGAAAAATCCTAACCGATTGATTGCGGTAGTGAAGCTATTAGTTTCACGTTGTTTCACGTTTGCAGAGCCCAAGATGCTGAGCTGCGCCGGCTCTTTGGCTCAAGAAAAGACCGAGTG